ATCCGCAATTTTCATTGCGTTTTGTATTTTTTGAAATTCTTGTATGAAATAAAGAAAAATTTTCCACCCTCTCCCACAATTTTCTGTGTTAATAAATTTTTCTATGTTTCAGAATTTAATTCTTGGTAAGTTCTTACATTGCTATCTCTTATAAAATTTTTGTGCTAATAAATTTTTGCTTGTTTTAGAGTTTGTTCTTTGGTAAGTTATCTCGTTGTTCTCTTCTCTCGAATTTTTGTATTAATTAATTTTTGTATGTTTCAGAATTTAATTTTCGGTAAGCTATGTTCTCTGTTCTGAAATTTCTGTATTAATAAATTTTTGTCTGTTTCAGAATTTAATTCTTGGTAAGTTATGTTACTCTCCCTTCTGATATCCGCAATTTTCATTGCGTTTTGTATTTTTTGAAATTCTTGTATGAAATAAAGAAAAATTTTGCTCCCTCTCCCACCATTTTCTGTGTTAATAAAATTTTGTCTGTTTCAGAATTCAATTTTAAGTAAGTAATGAAATAATTTATATTTGTCTTAATAAGTTTTGTCTGTTTCAGATTTTTATTTTATGTAAGTATTGAAATCATTCATTTTTGTCTTAATTACTTTTATCTGTTTCAGATCTTTATTTTATGTAACTATTGAAATAATTGATATTTGTCTTAATTACTTTTGTCTGTTGCAGAATGTAATTTTTGGTAAGTTCTGTTCAATGCATTAGTTTTTTAATTCCGAGCTTGTGGGAGGATGGGTGGGCTCGGGCGCAGGTTTTTCGTCACAATATGTGGCGAAAAGCTTGCGCAAATTGTAAAAGTGCCTTTCGTTCTAACTTGCACTCATCTTTAACTTAATTTTTTAACTTGTTACATATTAGATTTTAGTAGTAGTCAATCATTTTTATTGTCAATTGCTCGAAACTTAAAAGAAAGTTCTTCCAACTTTCTTCTTTAACCCTTTTCTTTACAAACTTTTATATTATACGAGTGCAATGTTAGAACAAAAGGCACATTTAGGGCTTTAATATTGTAGTATGCGTGAGTGTGTGAAAATGTGAGTACACGATACAGGACTTATTTAGTTTAAGAGTTTTTCAGATTCGAAATGATTTTATTTTTTATTTTGAAGATTTCAAGACTACATTCTATTTTATTCCTTGCTTGGAAGATTTCAAGGCAACATTCTATTTTATTCCTTGCTTGGAAGATTTCAAGACAACATTCTATTTTATTCCTTGCTTGGAAGTTTTCAAGTCTTCTCTATTTTATTCTTTGCTTGGAAGTCTTCTCTATTTTATTTCTTGCTTCGAAGTTTTCAAGACTCTTCGTTATTTCATTCCATCTACTGTATTTTTGGTGATTTCAATTTTTCCATAGTTGTGTTTCGAATAAAGATTGATTTCATTCCTTGTTTTTCAATTTTATTTCATTCTTTGTTTTTCAATTTTCTGTCTTTAACTGCATTCGTCTGTTTCAGGTTTAAATTTATGTAAGTAATCTTTAATATTTTATATTTGTCTAAATTATTTTTGTATGTTACAGGTTTTTATTTTGTGTAAGTAAGTTTTAATGATTCATATTTGCCTTAATCAGTTTTGTCTGTTTCAGATTTTTATTTTAAGTAAGTAATTTTTAATGTTTCATGTTTGTCTAAATTATTTTTGTATGTTACAGGTTCTTATATTATGTAAGTAACTTTTAATGATTCATATTTGCCTTGATCATTCTTGTCTGTTTTAGGTTTTTATTTTAAGTAAGTAATTTAATGTTTTCTTTGTGTTTAATTACATATATCTGTTTCAGATTTTTATTTCAAGTAAGTAATTTATTTTCTGTCTTAATAAATGTTTGTATGTTTCACGTTTTTATTTTAATAATTTGGTTTGTCTTATTTTCGTTCAGATATTTCAGA